ATATACTAATACAACAGTTACTAGAGCCAATCAGCTTTGCATTCGTGGCTTTGCGGATGTCAGTTCATGGTTGCTGTTTTCCAGGATCTTTTGCAGGTGGATGTGTGAACACAGCCTATCTCCAGAAAGGGATGAACAGGATGCGCTGATCCTTCAGGGTCATGAGACAGTGCTGTTCTGTCCCAAGTTATACGGTTTCCCACAATGCAGGACTGACTACTTCTCCTTTAAAACTTGAGAAGCTTCTGTTGGACGAATCCCGCAGTTTCTCCACATCCTCCACGTTTGTGACTGTTGGTCGCAAAACAGAAAAGGGAAAATTAGGCCAGGAGTTGTTTTAATTGTGGAAAAAACAGTCACTTTCAGAAGGAATATGGAGTCAAAGGACCAGTTAGCCAGGAGGGAAGAAAGTGGTGTGTGAACTGTAAGCAGGATAACCACAATAGCAGCGAATGCAGAAAATCGGGAAACAGATCACTTGTTTGACTTGGATGTGTGCAAAGAATCGTAGTGAAAGCTTCAACATTAGGTTATATCCCTGAGTAGAAGGGAAAATGCCCTTCCTAAAACAGAATTGAAAAGAGAGTACTCTTCCTGAAACTGAAGCTTGGGAATTTGTCTGTTAAATGTTGAATATTATCGTAAGTCCTGTCTTTGCAATATTTTGAATTTGTGCTGAAAACTTGGTGTGCCTGTGTGTGTGTGTGGTCACGACCATGAACGTGTGGTTTTATGTTACAGTGTTTGTATTTCTGTGATTTGATGGATTTATTCGGTTTCTGTGATCTGATCTGATGGATTTGTCTGGATTAAGTAACAGGTTTTGTGTCTTTCGGTTTGGAATAAGTTCTGCAGGTATTGATTATTTTCTGGTTTTGGTTTATTTTTTTGGCTTTAGACTCTTGTGTTTGGACTCTGATTTAGCAGGACTGCAAGCATTTGATGCAACAAAGGTTAGATGTGCTGATGTCTGCAGCTTTGTGCTTTTATGTACAGTAATTTTAGCCTATATAGTTAATGAGTCACTATGTGACTAATATGGTTAGCCAATACTAAATGTTAGGGATGTTTGTATATGTGATAAGTATACCTGTAACCCAAGTGCAAATTTACTGAGCTCATATTATTGATACACTGTTATTTC